CACTGACGCAGGATCCCCCCTCAGCCCCGTGAGTGCCCAGCTCTGCCAGCTGCTCCTTGGCCTGGAGCCATTTGGATATTTAGAACGCCATTCCTGAGCCACACAGACTTACCGACTTAAAAACCAGCCTCCGGTATTCGGTCAGACAGTGAGTTCACCCCCAGGCCTTGGCGGGGCCCGTGGGCCGGACATCCCCCACCCCCGGCCTAGAGGGCAGTGCAGAGAAGAGGCCAGACCCTGGAGGGGCCAGCTTGTCCTGGGCCTGTCTCAGGCTTCTGTCCCCACCTGCAGGAGAAGCAGGCACCTGGCAGGGCAGCAGGCTGACCTGGGGAGGCCGCCCAGCTGTGGGGCACTGCCCAGAGGGCACGGACGTGCGGCAGGAGGGCAGGCACTGGCCGAAGGCACTTCGCGGTCCCTGATGGCCTGCAGGCGGCACGGGCTCCGGGCACAGCGGGTGCACAGCGCCAGACACACAAGCTGGGCGACGCCCCGCTCCCGGGAAGAGAACATTCCTGCCCACAGGGCTCCCCACCCTCCGCTCCTCAGCACCTCACTCCTCCGGAATGCTCAGGCACGTTGCCCGGGCAACCAGACGCCAGCCAGCGCGTTGCCATCCTTCAGCCGCTGCCAGCCCCCGAGGAGCCTGCAAGCATCCGCGTGCCTGGAGCTCTGCAGACTGGCTCCGAGCGCCCAGGGCGGGGGAGGGGCCCCGGGCGCGAGGGGAGGGACCACCGGGTGGTGCTGGCCCTGGGACCGCGCCCCTCCCCAGGACGGTAGTGCCAGAGAGCCCGGAGCAGCGTGGAATCGGGGGGACCTAGGGGTTGTCGGGCCTTTGCCACACCAGGAACCCCAATGTCCCCCCCGCCTCTGAGATTGGCGTCCCTCCTAGTGGAGTGAGTGCTGGATCCAGAGGAGGGCAGGATGTTGGGGAAAGTCTCCTGGAGAAATTTTTTCTTTTTAAAATATGTTTTTATTGATTTCAGAGAGGAAGGAAGAGGGAGAGAGAGAGAGAAACATCAATGACGAGAGAGAACCGTCCATTGGCTGCCTCCTACATGCCCCCCCCCCAATGGGGATGGAGCCTACAACCTGGGCATGTGCCCTGACCGGGACCTGAACCAGGACCTTTTTGTCCTTAGGCCGATGCTCTATCCTCTATCCACTGAGCCACACCGGCCAGGGGTCCCCCACCCGGAGTTTTACTCCACCCAGAGGTCCGGGCTGACGGAGCCACCGTTGCCCCCTCAGCACAGCCTTGGGGTCCGGGCGTGTTCTCAGACAGTCCTTGGCCTCTTGTCTTTGGGAGGAGCAGAGCGCCATTGCGTTCTAGAAGGCGGCTCTGAGTGTGAGTGGGGATCCATGCCTGCTCCCCTCGGGGCTCCCCGGTCCCTGTGGAGACCCCTGGGGCCTGGGGCGGCTCAGGCCTCTCATGCCAGCAGCACCTGGAAGCCCAGGTTTCCAGGAACGAGGAATCTGTGCTCCCCAGCCCCACAGATTGTTCCCATGGCAACTGCCTCCCGGCCCCCCAGCCCCGGGGGCAAGCACCACCTGAGGGGGAGAGGTGCCCGTCTCCCTGACAGCGCCTTCCTTCGTGGAGAAGAGACAGATCGCAGCCACTGCATCTCACCGAGCTGTGCTTGGGGGAAGAGCTCCGTGACAATGTCAGGAGGAGAAGCAAGGGCTGCAGGCGGGAGAGGGGGAGGCGGAGCCCGTTCTCCCCTGGGAGGCCATGGGGGTGCGGGGCGGCAGCAAGGGCTTCCAGAGGCTGGGCTGGGACCCTGCGGAGCCCGGGGTGGGGGCACCCAGGCCCCCCTCTCAGGGCGGGCTGGCGCAGGGATGGAGCTGAGGCTCGGTGCTCCTGCGGGTGCCTGCAGCTCCGAGGCACGGCTCTGGCTCCGGCCCGGCCCCCTCCCCGAGCCCCAGGCCGCTCTCTCCGTGCCTTCCCACAACCCGCTTCCTGAGCGTCACAGACACGCCCTGAACCTCGCCCTCTAAGCGTGTGCCGGCCCTTGGTGGTAGCATGTTCGCAGGTTGTGCAACCATCCTGCTAGTCATTCCAGAACACGCCATCACCCTAAAGACCCCCCTGAGACATCCCGCCGGCTTGCCCGGCCTCCCCACTTCCCAGGTGAGCGCCCCCCTTCAGAGAGGACGGACAGGACGCAGAGGGAACACACCAGGCCCCCCGCCCCGGCAGTGGGCTGGCTTTTCTGCATACCAGCCGGGTGGCCTGGAAATGAGGGGTTTCCATGGTAACCAATTACAGCGCAGGATTGGTGAAGACACAGGAGTACCCCGTGTATGAAGTTACGCGGGGCGGGCAGGCCCGGGCCCGGGGCTGCTTAATTTCCCGGAGCGATTTCTCCACGCGCTGCGGCTGGCAGGTTTGCGCGTGGCTGCTCTTAGCCAGCCGGTGGGGCCTGGTGGGCCTGGTGGAGCCTGGTGGGGGTTGGTGGGCCTGGTGGGGCCTGGTGGGGCCTGGAGGGACCTGGTGGGGCCTGGTGGAGCATGGTGGGGCCTGGTGGGGCCTGGTGGGGCCTGGTGGAGCCTGGTGGGGCCTGGAGGGACCTGGTGGGGCCTGGTGGGGCTGGCTGGTACCCCAAGTTGCCAGTGTTTCCTGGGGAGGCCTGCTGAGGCCTGGGCGTGCCTGACAGTTGCCAGTGGAGCCCGCTGGCCGAGGCCACCACCTGCTTAAAGCAGCATCTCGTTCCTCTGAGGCCAGTCCCGAGTCCGAATGAGCAGCTTCTGGAGAACCAGCAGCCTAAGCCATTCATCTTCCCGGCAGCACCGCCGGGCGTGATGGGAGCTGCACGCTGACCTGGCTCCGTGCAGGAGGGCAGGCGCCCTGCGCCGCCGGCGGGCTGTGGGGAGTGCACACCGGAGCCGGGGGCTGCAGCCCAGTGAGCAGCTCCCGTGGCAGCAGGTGGAGGAGCGGGGCTCGCAGCTGGGGGCTAGCCCTCCCTGGCCGTGGGCGCTCGGAGGCCAGCTCCTTCCTCCGCCCCGTGGACCCCACAGCCCTGAGCGCTCAGAGCCGCGCCTTCCCAGGCGGGGAGACGAGGGCAGCCCCGCAGGGCAGGGTGGCCTGGGAGGGCACACACATGGCCACGCTAACCCATGACACACACAGCAACACAGTCACCCCCACACACTCACCCACACCCACATCCAACACTCACTGATACACACACATGCTGACACACAGGTGCACACACACCAACTCACACATAGGCGCACACACACAGTGTATACACAGGTACACACACACACACACAAACATACACAGATGCACACATACCAACTCACACACAGGTGTATACACAGGTGCACACATACACAAACACACACAGGTGCACACACACATCAACTCACATGCAGGTGTGTACCACACACGCAGGTGTGTACCACACACACAGGTGTACACACACATAGGTGCACACACACACACTAACTCACAAAAACTCCCTGATACACATGTACAGACACACCTCGCCACCTTCCCACACAGATACACACCAACACTCACACATACGGCCACACTCACCAACATACCTCACAGACACACATACATTCACACATTTACACACTCACAGCAACACCTACACCCGCACACCAACTCACCCTCCCTCACCAACATGCCTCATAGACACACACACTCTACATTCGCACATGACACACACACACAGGGACACCCACACCCACTTTGACACTCAGTCTCATGCTGACAGTCACACACACACACACACACACACACCCATGCACACCTGTGCGCACGCTCACACTGACTCACACGCACTCCCGGTTTATTTCCTGTGGAAGCCGCCGCCCTCAGCCGCCCGATGCCCTGCTCCCCGCGCGGTTCTGAGCAGCGCCTTGCACCGGGCTCCCCCTGCCTCCCTGCCTGGCCCCCCCCCCAGCCGTCACGGGGGCGGGCTCCTGTCAGCCCTGTGTGACGAGCTCGGGCTTGAATGGTGCTGTTACCCAAGCCGGTGGGAGGGCGTGTGGGCCGCACCCCACTTCGTTCTGCGTGGCTGTCCCAGCTCTGGGTTCACGCGACACCCCCTGAGCCACCTGGGAGCTCAGGTCACACTGGGAGCCACCCCCCAGGCAGTGCCCTTCCTCCCACCCCCTGGGCGGAGGGGCGGGTGGGCTTCAAGGGCCCTGCCCAGGAGGTGAGGGGGGCGGCAGAGCGGGTGTCGCACACCGGCCGTGCAGCCCAGCAGGTGGCGTGTGCCCAGCAAGACGCGGAGCCACGGCGGCTGGAAAACAGCAGATCCCACTGAAACACGAGGAGGCGGGGGGGGGGGGGCAGCGGGAGCGCGGGCCGTGCGGGCTCTGGACACGCCTGGTCTTCACCCTCCTACCCCGTGCAGTCCGCCAGGCGCCGTGCTGAGTGGACCTCCGAGGGGGCTGCACGCTGAGGGCCGCCTGGTGGTGGCCTCTGACCCAGAGGAGCTGCCCGGCCCTCCCCTCCCATCCTCGCTGCCCTGTCCTGGGCACTGCTGGCCAAGGGGCCTTCGAGGTCTGCTGGGCAGCGGACAGCCAGGCCCGGGGCTCGGGGGTTGGTGTCCCCCAAGCTGTGGGCGGTGGCTGCCCGCCCACTCTGTGCCCTGCAGCTCCCTGCAGAGACGTGACGGGATGTGCAGGCTGGGATTCAGCTCTTAGGACCCGTGTGTGTATGTGTGTGTTTGTGTGTATGAGTGTGTATATGTGTGTGTGTATGTGTGTGGGGTATATGTGTGTGGGGTGTGTGTGCGTGTGCATGTGCGTGTGTGTGTGTGGTGTGTATGTGCGTGTGTGTGTGTGGTGTGTATGTGTGTGTGTGTGGGTGTGTGTGTGCTTTTAATCTGAAATGACTAGGTCCAGGGAACAGCCTTGGACATGAGTTTCTGCTGTGAAGGGAGGATGGGCTCAGCCCCACGCTCAGGGACTGGGGCGGTGGTGGGAGGAGGAGGGGGAGAGACCTCGCAGGGCCCCGCTCTGACCGCCCTCTCTCTCCGCAGCCCCATGTCCGTGCGCTGGCCGGGCTGCGCGCTGGGGAGCCAGGCGTGGGTGCTGATCGCCATGCTGCAGCTCGCCATGGACCTGCCGGCCTGCGAGGCGCTGGGCCCCGGCCCCGAGTTCCGGCTGCTGCCCCGGCCCTCGCCCCGGCCGCCCCGCCTGTGGAGCATGAAGAGCGGACAGCCGGCCCGGATCCCCGCGCCCGTGTGGAGCCCGCGCCCGGCCCGCGTGGAGCGCAGCCACGGGCAGATGCCCAGCCCCCGCGCCAAGCGGGCGCACAGACCCCGGGACCAGGTGGCCGCCCTGGGGCCCAAGGGGGGGCTCGCCAAGACCCCCGCCACCGCCACCAAGCCCGGCCCTGCCCTGGGCCCCGCGCCCTCCTCCCCGTCGCCCCCCGTGGGCGGCGGGGCCCCCACGGACCAGCATGCCCTGCTGCGGAGGGGCCGGCGGCAGCTGCCTGTGTTCAACGGCTTCGACTCGCACCCGCGCGGCGGCCGGCCCACCACGGAGGCCGAGTTCATCGTGTGGGGGCCCACGGGCGAGGAGGACGCCCTGGCGGCCAGCACGGCTCCCGACGGCCCCACCACGGCCTCCTACTTCCAGACGCGGAAGGCCACCGCCGCCACGGCCACCGCGGCCACGGCCACCACGGCCACCGCCATGACGCTGCAGACTAAGGGGGTCACGGCGCCCCTGGACCCCAGGAGCAGGATCCCCGCTGGGCTCAGCACCACGGAGCCTTCCACCAGGCCCAGCAGAGACAGCGGCAGAGACACCAAGCCCCCGCGGATCCTGGGGGAGACCTCAGGTACGCCCCCTTCTCTGGTTGGGGTTCGCTCGGAGGGAGGGGTTTCCTGGGGGCCTGGCTCGGGGGTGCTGAGCCGGCCTGGGGGGTGTCTCTTGGGGGGACGTGGTGCAGGTGGGGAAGGAAAAGGAAAACTTTCGGACACGAAGGCACAGGGCCAGGCGCAGGCTGGGGCGTCTGGGAGGGCGCAGTGCGGTGGACGTGCGGTGCTCACGTGCCGGCTGGTACCGGAGCCGGAGCTGAGGCTGGCGGGAGGGAGAGGCCTGGAGCAGGTGCCGGCCGCCGTGCTGTGGGAGAGATTGCTGAGCTCCCCCTCCCCTGGACCAGAGCGCCGTGGTCCAGCATGGCGGTGCGTCCTCTGGGGGGGCACTCAGGAGCAGATGTGGGCACGTCTGGGCAGTGAGGGTTCGGGGCAGCCTTCAGATGTCCCCAGAGCGTGGCTCTGCGGTGGCCGCTGCCCGATGGGCTGGACGAGGCTCACTTTAGACGAAGGGGCGACCAGGGCAGGGGCAGGAAGGGCCTCCCATGGGGTGGGAGGGGCGGCTGGGAGGTCCTGTCCTGGGGGCGCTGGAGGACGGGGAGCAGCCTGGGACCCGGTGCCGGGTGCCGGGCGGGAAACGCCTCCTGCGACGAGGTTTCCTTTTCCTTCCCACCTGCACCGCATCCTCCGATGGCTCCCGAGGAGGAGGGCTGAGAGATCTCCCGGGCCAGGCCCGTCCCCCCCCCCCCCCCCGTGGCCCCCAGTGTCCCCACCGCACGGCTGCAGGACAGCAGAGAAGGGCACCTCGGTCCCGGCTGCCTCCAGCCCCCTTTGCCAGGCCCTCTCTCCATGACCGGGTGCATAGGTAGGACTGTGTGTGCGACAAGCAGTACCTGCTGACTCGGGAGAAGGGGTGCCGTGTCCAGGGCATGAGCACAGGGGCGGGGCAGCAGCCTCCCCCACACCCGCTTGCTCTGCACGTCCTAAGGTTTGGGGGCTCCTCGGGCCCTGGCGGGGCCTTCCAGAACCCAGGAGGGGAGGGCTTGCTCCCCAGGGTCTGCCTGCAGCACCTGGCAGTTTCCGCTGCCCCGACCCCTGCCCTCGTCACTGCATCCCGCGGGACAGGCCGGCGTGGCCAGCAGCGGGGCAGGCTTTGTGGAGCGCGTGGCTTTTGTTCCATGGCCTACTTTCTCCCTCCCTGGGACAAGGCAGTGGTGGTTCCCTCCTCTTCCCTAGAGAGCAGCATCCGATAAACACAGCAGAACCTGGCTTCCTCTCGGGGCGCGGGCAGGGCCGGGAGCTGGGGCGCCTCCCGGGAATGCGTCTACAGGGCCGTGCACAGGCTGACTGCCTCCCTCACCCCCCTCCCCTCCCTGTCCGTCCAGCTACCGGCCACGGCCTGCCAGCCGGCTGGGATGCAGACCTGAGGGCAGGGCTCAGGCGTCGGGCCCTGGGGCTGCTGTCCCTCATCTCTGAGCCAGGCCCCGGGCAGCTTGCAAAGCCTCCGTCTTTATCTCGGTCCGCTCGCACGCCGTCCTGGCGATGGAAGTGAGGACCGTCACCTCGGTTACCGTCACCACGAGGTACTTGGCCCTGACTGTGTAGACACGGATGGGAACCCAACTCCGTTCCCTCCCATGACGTGTGTGACGGCTGAAGGACGCGCTGGGGACCACGTTAGAAGGCTACACGAATGAATTCCCGGGACATGGGATGTCGCAAATCCAACTCGGCAGCTGAGATGTTGGAAAAGATGCACAGTTCCCCTCGCAGAATCTGGTGCGGAATTAATTTGTTTAGCAAAACAGATGGAAGGGGGTAAATACGTGCGCGCGGGCGCAGAGCGGCGGTGATGCCGCGAAGGGAAGCCGGCTGGGCGGGGACCAGAGGCCCTCGCTTTCCGGGCCGAGGCGAGGAGAGGCAGACATGGGGAGACGGTGCCTCTGACCGGGGGACCTCCCTGGCCAGCTGGTCCTACCTCCGGGCCACCATCCCCTGGGACACCGAGACCCCAGGCAGGCGTCCTCCGAGCCGCCCTGGCCTTCGCCATCACCACATGTGGACCCAGCTCCTCGCTCTTTCCCGAGAGTGACGGCGGCTCACGCGTCTTAGGCCAAATTTAAAGAGACCCCGGGGACCGTGCACGCGTGGCCAGCGGCCCCGTGTGAATCTGGGCTCTGCGGCGTGCGGCTCTGTGACACGGAGGTTCTCATCTCTCTCTGCGTCGCTGTCTTTATCCGCTCCGTTCAGTCTCTGCCTCTCCTGAGTAGTTGCTGTGAGGATTCGGTGAATGAACAAACGTGAGACATGGTGCCTGGCACCGGGAACCCCCATGCACACCAGCTGTTTTAAAATACCCAGCGAGCGGGCTCCGAGAGCGGAGCTGCACGTGTCAAGGGCCATACGCTGCCAGGGACCTGGGAGTCCTGTCACCTCAGCAGACCCATCTGTGCTCACTCACGGCCAGGGGCACCCTGAAGGCTGGCATTCGGGTTCCAGGAAACGATAGAATTCATGAGGGCAGTGCTCCTGGCCACGAAGGGATGTTTGGGACCAGATTGTGGAGCTGTAAGTTTACGTTGGCTTCTGTAGAGACATGTAGAGACAGAGCATGTTACGTTTCCACACCACAGGCATTGGGGGTGTAGAAAGGGCAGGGGCTGTTGATTGGGGGCACTCGGTGATTTCTCAGGAGCGAACATGGGATACTGATTGGAATCGTCAAAGCTCCCCCCTCCACCCCGTCCCCCTGTAAGTGAACTGCTTGGGCACTCCTCCTGGTTTTGGTGAGTGGTTACAGGGGCCACTGCTTGCCTTCACTTCCTTGACATTGTCCTGTATGAGCTGTGCAAACTCGGGCAACTTGCTTGTCCTCTCTTTGCCTCCGTGGAGATGACGGAATTAAGCATCTGGTGATGTTGTGAAGGTTCAGTGAGACAGTACCTGCCAGGTGCTCAGTGCCAAGCACATTAGCTGCTTGGTACATGTTTGCTGCTGTTTCGATGATGATGATGATGATGGTGGTGGTGGTGATGCAAGTCATGACAGTGATGACAATGGCAGCATGATAATGATGGATATGATGATGCTGATGGAGATAGAGATGGCGATGGTGATGGTAGTGGTGACGATGATGGAGATGGTGATGGTGATAATAGTAATTATGATCATGCTGATGGTGATGGTAATGGAGATGGTGATGGTGGGATGGCGATGATGGTGATGATGGAGATGGAGATAGTGATGGTGATGGTGATGAAGGCAGTGATAATTATGATCACGATGATGGTGGTGGTGATGATGATGGAGATGGTAATAATGATGGTGAGATGGAGATGGTAATGTGATGGTGATGGTGCTGATGATGATGATGGAGATAGTAGTGGTGCTGATGATAGTGATGATGGTGATGGTGATGGTGATGACAGTGATGATGGAGATGGTGATGATGATCATGATGATGGAGATGGTAGTGGTGATGATGATAGTGATGATGATAGTGATGGTGATATGGTGGTGATGATGATAGTGATGATGGTGATGATGATCATGATGATGTTCGGATATGGTGATGAAGGCAGTGATAATTATGGTGATGATGAGATGGAGATGTTGATGGTGATGACAGTGATGATGGAAGATAGTGATGATGGTGATGATGGTGATGGAGATGGTGGTGGTGATGATGATATTGATGATGGTGATATGGTGATGAAGGCAATGATAATTATGATGGTGATGATGGTGGTGATGATAATGATGGAGGTGGTGATGATGATGATGAGATGGAGATGGAGATGGTGAGGACGGTGATGATGGAAGATATGATGATGATGATGATGGTGATGAGATGGAGATGGTAATGGTAATGGTGACGATGATGATAATGACATTTATTATCTTTGTGGTGATTTGCTGCTTTGTTGTGGAGTCATCTGATGAGGTCATTTGATGAGGTTCCACGTCCTCACCCCTGACCTTGGTGCTTTGTGCAGAGGCAGAGATGGCACGGCAAGGAGCCGCCGGGATGGAAAATCACCCCGCTCAGGCTCCCCAGGGCGCTGAGCCCCAGCCGCCATGGTGCTGGCAGAGGGTGCGTGTCAGGTGGGCTGGGAGTTCACTCGAGGCCGCGAGAGGAGGCCTCCCAGTGCGAGTGCCTGCTCCGGTGACAGCTCTCTTGCTGGCCATGTTCTGAGTCTGTAATCACCGAGCCTCCTGGGAGGAAAATGGAAAGCCATTTCCTGGGCTTTAATCTCACAGCTCGTAAAGGCGCCGCGGGGAATGGAAGCAGCCGAGTCCCATGACTGCCGGGCCCGCGGCGAGTCTCCAGGCCCCGGTGCTCCGCGACAGCTCGTGCTTGGGGCGGCCTGCCCGGCCCTGGCTTCTGAGCCTCTGCCCGCGGGTGCCGGGGCCGCAGCCTCTCCACCGGCTCAGACTCATGGGCACGGTCCTCAGCGGAGGGGCGGCCTGCCCCCGGGAGGGCCGGGGATGCTCCGTGGTCCCCACTGTCCTTCAGGGTTCGCTCTGTTCGGGATCGGTCGCCCAGCAGCTCCCGGCGCCGGGCTCAGGTGACCGCGGCCCTGCCTGGTGCTGTCGCACCGGAACCCGCTCTGGCGTTCCCAGGGCTGATGTGCGAGTCGCTTCGTCCCTGTCACCTGGGCCTCCGTGTCCCCGTGTGGCATCCCTCCGTCCGTCAGCGGGAGGGACAACTGGCGCCCTCTCCTCTCCTCCAGGGGTCACCTGGGGAGCTGGCCTCGTGATGACGTCACTTTTTGAGGGACAGGACGGGGCTGGGAGGGAGGGAAGGGAGGCGGACACACCGAGCCCCTGTTAGTTACTGGGCCGGGTGTTTGCTGCGAGGGAAGTGAGTCCGTCCTTGATTTAAAGACACAGTACAGGGAGCAAATGACTCCTGAGCTTGAGCAGTTTTGCGTGGCTTTGTCAGGCTAAGAGCATCTACACACATAAGCGTGTGGAGCCCCGAGACACGTCCTGACCTGTGTCCGCGGCCAGGCTGGCCTGA